CTGCATTCCACACTCGTAACGTAAGCTTGCGACGCCTGTGTTGAGCGAGGCTGATTTCCGGGAATGTAAATGTAAACCTTTTGAAGTGATACTTTTGTTTTAAATTTAAGACGGAACCCACCAGGAAATTGAGTAAATTAATTCTCAAAGGAAAAAACCTTGTACCAGAATGACATAAAGAATATTGCATCCTTTTTTACATTTTTCAAGGCCTTTTAAAAGATGTAATTAGTCATCTGTAATAACACCAAAGAAAATTTCCTCATGGGAGTCCGAGAAATGAATGTCAAATTTCACAAGAATTGTGAAAACACAGGTAAAATTCTGAAAATTTCATGCGTAAGATGTAATTTTCTGAAATGTGACATTCGTTTTCTCGGGCTCCCATAAGAAATTTTCTTTGGTGTTATTACAGATGACTAATTACATTTTTAGCCCTTGAAAAATGTAGAAAAATAACGCGATAATGTTTAAATCAATCTGGTACAATAAAGGTTTTTGTCCCCTGAAAATTGAAATTACTCAATTTCCTGATTTCCCGTTTTCACATGACGTCACGGCGGCCATGTTTGTGTACAAAAACAAACCTGTGGGAATTGAACTCTTTTCGCATGTTAGGCTCCGTGCAAACGCAACAACTCCCAACATTGTTGCGCCAACAATGTTGGAAGTTGTTGCGTGCGTGTTGGCAGTGGTGTGCAAACGGATGCAACAACTCCCAACAATGTTGGTACCTGGGAAGGATACAACCCATAAGTCTTTGTAAACCATGCGTAATGAGCGTGCGTGGCCCCAACATTGTTGGAAGAGTTGGAAGTTGTTGGCTGAAAAGTTTGACCGGTTTCAAACTTTGCGCAACAACACTCAACAACATCCAACAACATGCAACAGGATGTGCAAATGGACGCAACATGTAACATCCAACAATGTTGGGAGTTGTTGGCCAACAATGTTGCGTCCGTTTGCATGGGGCTTTAAACCTTTCTTTTATTCCAAGCAATTTTCAAAGCTGCTGACCACGTGACTGAAAATGTTCTCAATTTTTTGGATAACTGTCTTGCTAACTATGAGAGCTTCTGAATTTTTGCGAGGAATTGGTTATAACTTAAAAAGCTATTCTTGACTTCTATTGAATGGGTGGTAAGATGAGAAGCGTATATTTCGAAATTAGTACTTCTAAGTCAAAAACTGTCGACGATCCTACGAGCGTTCTTTTAACCGGCCTTCCCAAATTGTAAAAAATGTATCTAGAAAAGAGATTTTGTCACACGTTTCCGCTATAAATTTAAAGTTAGCGTTGTGAGTGTGGTGATTATTTGCTTGTTCTCTAGTATGAGGGTCTCAATGGGGTGGTGGCTTTTACGGTTATCGGCTAAAATTTTGGCTCTTTTTCAGTTGCGGTTAACGAAAAAGTTAAAAATTAACTTCTTTTGTTTCAAAAAGTTAAATATTAATCAACCTGTATTTTTTTGAATAAGGGTCGTCGGATCATCTCGGGATGAAATAAGCTATTCTTTTGAAAAATCTTAACATAGATAGATCATACTTTTTATAAAGTATTCCACTTCTAATGTTATTTTACACATAGAAATGTCAATAGTCAATTTAAAAATAATCTTTGTGAAAAAGCAAAAGCAGACACGCGAACGCCAAATCAAGGCCGGGGCGCGACATTCATTATGACAGAAATGGCCGTTTTCACACTAAAGGAGGATTATTCGTGTGAGACGGGTTATCCGTTTGATGATTCGCGTCAGATAGGTAATATGTCTATTTGAAAATGGAATAGTTTTAATTTTGAATGAACAATCCGCCTGACTTTTGAAGACGGGATTATCCGTTCCAGATAGCCTGTGTACAGCCGCCCCCACCCCTCAGAAAAAATCGGAGAAGGGGTGTCTGTGGGGAGGACGCGACTGTACACAGGCTAGTCTCAGACGGATGATCCAATTCTAGCTATAGTGTCAAAACGGCCAATAACAAAATTCCCGCGTCCATTGTTTTTAATGACAGCGAAGGACTGTACGAAACGATTGTCTGCCGTTGCCTTGTCCGTAGGCCACATTATTCCGTCCGGCTAATGCGTCTCGGGTCACGCGGTCCGAGCGAGTTCGCCACCGAAATGCCTTGACCGAAATTGCGTGGGTAGACGCCGTACAGGGACTAGGCATGGAAATGTCTACCGTAGCGTCAGAGACAAACAGGGAAATGTTGCTTATCGGCAACGTGTTTTACAAACAATGACATCTCTGCGTGCTGTTTCACTGGTGTTTCGAGGGTACGACCGCCGGAAAATTGCAAATATTAGTCCCCAGCAAGAAGCCACACTTTCGCTAGTTAGTTCCCAGAGAGAGCGCCGGAAATGGAGCCTAGGTCTTGGTTAAGGCGGTTCGCCTAACGTGCGTATGGAGTCACACTAGCCGGGAAATAAAAAACGCAACCATAAGTGAGTTTAGTACCTTCCTTAAAAGTAGCAAATCTAGGAAACAATTTCTTTTACGGTTAACTCTTTTTTACCCTAATTACGGCTAATGGTTAAAATTTGTCAATTTTTACGGCTATCAGCTAAATTTTTGGCCGTTTTACGCCTATCGGTTAACCCCATTGAAACCCTCTAGTATATGCCATGCTTTATTCTTTGTTTCTAGAGAAGCCCAGAGGCGGGGTTCAACACAACCTTAAGAAATCAAATTTACCAACACAGTTCAATGGGTTAACTGAATTATATGATTCCTAGCTAAATTAAATGTATTTAGTACATGTTTGAATACAGTTTAAGTTGGAAGTCGGAACTCCGAACTCAGAAACCTGGGACGTCACAAAACAAATCCACTGCTCGGCGGACTGGCGATTTTGATTGACCGTATTGCGCCGGAATAAGAATGTACAGGGGCACCCAACGTCAATTGTCGGAAAATATCTGTTCGGAAGACGATTTGAGATCTAGAATCTGCGGATTATTTGTTGTAAAATTTCTTGCTGGCCTGCTCTCCTAGGATTTTCGAACATCTGAAAATGGTATAATTGCCCATTTTTAACGGATTTTCGGACCCTAAAAAGGTCACCTAGAATTTTCGGGAGCCTTTTTTCTGGCTAAAATTTTTGAAAAGGTAAGTTTTGATCCCTATAATTTTCGGATCACTAGACTTTCAGCTAGGAAATCCGAACAGATGGAAAATTTTAAGGGGATAAAAATATGCCTATATCTATCGTTTAAATACTAATTAAAAATACGTTTCACAATGCTATGTTTAAGTGGTTTTGACCTCTATTCTCGTTGGGTGCCCCTGAATGTACAAGGAATAAACTCTAAAAATCACTTGTTTTGGCTTTCATTGCATGACAAAATCTAGAAATCTGGTAGAACTTAATAGTTCAAATGACTGCAGCATCCCAGTTATCAAAAAGTTGGCTTTGGAATTTGTCACAAATTTTTTTCGGCGTATTCCTATTCAGGAATTACGATCGAGGCGAACGCACACGGAGAACTTCCTCTCATGCTAATTCCTTTGCATGGAATTAGAAGTTGACATAAGTCTTTTACAATAACATGCAGTGCACTGACGTGGCGCAATAGCTATTAGCGAACATCGACGGCGAACTGGCGAAGATTCAGCAACAGAAAACAACAACAAAAAACGCAGTTGATATGTTTCTACTGTATATTGTTATTCTAGCTTCAGCTGGAATACAAGGTCAGTTCTGAGTATTATGCTTACTGAGTAGCGATTTATTTTTTATGTTAGGTTAAACAGTGCGACCGCAAGTGTGTCGGTACGATATGATTTGCTCCGGCGGCAAATCTGGCCAATCTGTAATTTAGCTCTCCCGATCTCCTTTAACTTCGCTCGCTAACTAAAAGTTTTCATCAGGCAGCCATGATGCTACTGAGCAGCTACGGGGAAAGTATAATTGTTTACGAAACTCCTTTTAAAGTTCGACAAAAATATTTTAGGTAGAAATTAAAACAACGCACGGCTGCTGTAGAGGATATAAAATGTGAACTGTCGGGTGAACATGTTTAAGTCAATTTCGATTGAAACATGTATACGGCGGACACAAGAAATCCCTAATTTTGTTTCCCAGTTCTTTCAGTAGTGAAAATGAACCTGGTTAAAGCGAGCATTGGCGAGGTCTCGTGAGTTTCTTCATAAGTAATAGCTCTTTTACTCGCTGTTTAATGACTTTAATACTTCAAAGATCTTTAAAAGGAACACGCGACGCAGTAAGTACACTTGACTCCCGTATTTAAACTCGAACCCTCGTCGAACCAAAATTGATTTCCCCTGGATTTCTTTCATACATTTACATGTACTGTAACTCGAACCCTCGATTACTCGAACCTCCCGCTAACTCAAAGTAATTTTTGTCCCTTCAGATCATTTCTATATAGTTTTACCCTCGATAACTCGAACCATGTGTTAAGAGCGTGACATGTTAGAGAAAAACAAAAAGAAAACCGACTGTACTGCTGAGTTCGAAACATTGAATGTTTGAATTTCCTATTGACTTTTTGCAGACATAAAGTTTGTTTGTTGAGGCTGATGTTGATTCTCAATCTTACAAATCTAACGTGAAACAGCTTTACTTCTCAAAACAGTACCTGAAAAAGCGTGCTCAACTTTTAAAAGGCTCTGTTTTGTTACGTTAAGTTCTGGAATAATATGGAAGTATCGTTCCATTTTCACTTGACATTTGTACAATTTAATGCAATTAAAATGTTCACGGTAAGGTAAATTGTTTTTCCCTTATTTTCGGTTGTTTGGTCCGAACTCGCGATAACTTTAACCTTTTTCGATTTCCCTTGAAGGTTCGAGTTAGGAGTTATCGGAAGTCCACTTCAATATAATATGTTAAGAACGTATAAGCCAATGACACGATGACCCAAATTAAGCGTTATTGTATACAATAGCGCTTGATCTGGGTCATCGCGTGCACGTCTTTCTTAGTATTAAACTTCCGCATTCGGTCACAGTTAAAAATAAAAAAGTTGCTTTTTTGCAGGTTTGCAAGACGGTCAACTTCAACGGGAGGTAGAAATACGTGTCTTTGACAGGCGATTCACTGCAAGCAAAAAGCAGGTAGAGCAAAACTTAACCAGCGCGAATCTGACGGAAAGAGGCTTCAAGAAGACAACACTTACTCAGAGAGTGGATGTTGAAGAAGGCGAACAGTTGCAAAAGATAGTTCGATTCCAGAAAAGTGTTCCCTGCGAAGACATGGCGAAAGTAGAGGAAGAGTTGCGTGCGAGCCTGCCTGGGGCTTGGGGAAAGGCTGTTTCAGACGAGGTTCGAAAAGAAGCCATGGCGAAAAGGGGAAAAAATCAGCACTGCACTGCAGGAATTGAAATTCATCTCTCGGCACAAAATTGCCGTAAAACTAAGAGCAAAGCTAAACGAAGTCCATGGCCGTGCCGACTTAGAAGGAGGTGCCTGTTTTGCTTTTTAGCAACTGTTGTGTAACATGACGTATGTTTGTTTGATGGTTTGTTTGTTTTTTAAAGGCTTGTACTACTGTACTGTATAACTAATCAGCCTGAATTTGATTTTTTTTACTAATAAACAACCCATATAAGATGTAATGTTAGATAGTTAGTCATGCGAATGAATGTGATTCCGTCGAAGAGTGTGTTCAGCTTCACTGCAGTCAAAAACAATTTCTGGTTAAATAATTAAAGATAAAAGAACATACTGACTCTTAATAAACATGTTTACATGTATGAGTATAAATGTATTACTCGATACTCTTGTCTACGATATTACGAACACAATTTTATTGTCAGTTTTTGCTAATCAGTTCAACATTTTAATATTCAAATATAATAGTCGACAAATTATAGCCTGACTGATGATATATTGTCTTTAAATAATACATAGATTTAGCCAGGGCTAAAAGCGAAGCTCCCATTAATAATAAATTTATAATTTAAATCAAACAATAAACTTGTAATCCACAAATCAGTTACGTTAAGGGCACATTCATGTGACTTTTGAGGGAAAGGCTAAGTTATTTCCTACATCGAGTTGATAGCCTTATATGTACACCCAAAATAGTAACCATCTTCGATCACATTCAAGAGCCATAATGGCTCCTTCCCGCCTTCCTCTGCGCGCACATTTTTATCAAAAGAGAGACATCTGGGTACGAGGCAGCCTCGAAAACAAATTCTTGGAAAACAAATCAGGCCGAATTTTTTTGCGTTCGATAGGTTTACTTTACAAATTCTTGCCAACAAATCTGGGGGTGTGTAAACCAACCTTTCAGTACTATTTATCATACAGACCTCGGACAGAATGCGGCATTTCACAATTTTTCAAGACGAATTGCACTTAGTCAATATTCAGGACGATAGATCGTGGGCTTTTAGCGAAACCGTTCCAAAAAATTCGAAAATCACCCATACGGCCAGCCGGTTCTCATTTCTAGTGCGAGCTGTCAGTGTGGTCGAGTGTTTGAATGAACTTTAATAGAGTTACGCTTAAACATAATAGCGAATTTATTATTATTTTTTTTTGTTATTTAATGGTTTCAGTTATAACGATGTGTAATCTTATAAAGCGTTTGATACGCGCGACATTTTTGAGTACTCCTGCAAGCGATGTTCATGGACGATGAAAACAAACGGCCGTCGATAAAATCCGGAACATGGAACATTCCGGAACATGCCGGAACATTCCGGAACATTCCGGAACATCCCGGAACATCCCGGAACATGCAAAAATAAAAATAATTTTCATGAAAAAAAATATAATAAATAATAATAATAAAATAATTTTTGTAAAAATTAATAATAACGTAAAATAACAAAAAAAAAACGAAAAATAATGAAATAATTAAGAAAAAGAAACTGGTATCCTCTCTGAGTATGAGAAAACAATATTTTGTCGCAACCGATTAAAATTTGTTGGGCGAGTGAGGATTCATGCAAATGACAGAAGGTGGGTAATGGAACAAGATTTTCATGGAGATTTTCAGGTCCTTGTCACGTGGTTTTTTGCTTCTTTCTCCGGTGTCCTTGACTGAATTGTGCTCATTCTGGTATGGTTTGAAAGATCTGTTCACTCTGCACAAGTTAGCGAAGAAAGTTGTCCTTGACCGTTAAAACTGATGACGTCACAAAGGGTAGAAAGGACCTGGATCCGCACGGGCGGTTCAGGAGCGAATGGGTTAAAAAACTGGCTAAATTTTCGCGTCCGAGGTCAGTTTGAAATCAAAATCTTAATAGTGCGGGACCATAATGACATAAACACAACATATTTCATATGAATCACTGGAAAAAATAAACTTGAGCCTGCGATCATTTGAAACTGGTATATTGTCAGCGGATAACTTCACAAAATACTCGACCTCGATGGGTCGACACTTGAGACCACGGTACAATCATGTGATACTGGTCAGCGGATACCCTGTTTTGACAGCTGTCAATTGATCACAACATTGATGAGCAATCAGTTTTCTCCTGGGCTCCCAAACTAGCTAGAAAGTGTGAGAGTAAACATTGGTTCCCATGTGGTGCAGACGGTAGCCTGTTCCAGGCGTTCAGATAGTGGGGAGCGTTGCGAAGTCAAAAGGAGTGCGAAAAAATAAAAGCTAGGGAGGAGGAGAGGTGAGAGAGGGAACCCGCACCTCTCTCCCCAGTCCCCCTCTACTTTTCATCGCTAGTTACTTCGCACCGCTCTCCACTATCTGAACGCTTGGAACAGGCTATGCAGACGGACGGTACGGTTACGTGATTACTAAATTTTCTGGGATGGGTAGATTTCCTTAGCTATGGGGCTCTGCGCGTGGAGGTCCGCTATAACTTTTAACTGACTTTGAAATTACTGATCAGGAACCGAGGTCCTGGCCGAATATCTTTGAAAATGTTCTAATCTTATCAAGGTTAGAACATAGCTCTTCTTTGCTCAGTTCTTTACAGGCCCGTAGGAACGAATTTGAAAGTGAGAGGGAACGAAGGTTAGCAGTGTTAGTGGCATACTAGCCTGCGTGGCAGGGGTTCGAAGGGGAAGGGGAAGGGAATTAGGGCACCCCACGCGCTCTCGCGCGCTCAAATTCCCCCTTCTCCTTTTAACACCTGCCACGCAGGCTAGTGGCATACTGGACTGTTAGCTGTTAGCTGTTGTTGAGGGCCTAGATTACTCTAATGCTGACTATTAAGCACATTTAGATACGGTTTATTGCCAATTTCAGGCTAATAATCTTCAAGCAATTTTTAACCTGTTTTGTGTACAAAAAATATGAACTGCTATACGTAACATTTGGATACCTAGTATGTAATGACGAGAATACTATACCCTAAGCCCTAAGGCGCGACTGTCACGCCTGCGGATCGGAAACTTCGATCTCACGCCTACTCACGTCTGTGTTCCAATTTTTCACGCCTGGTAATAAAAAATGTTTGAGCCATCACAGCATTAACTGTCTCATTTTGAAAAACATATTAATTATTTAAAGACACTGGAACCAGTTTGTGAAAAGAAAAGTCCATGTGAATGATCAACTTTCTCCAAATTCTATATTTTTAGTAGGGAAAGTCACTGGAGACGAGGTCGTGTTCCTTCGTGATCCCGTGTTTGTGTTAGACGGAACTCTTTAGAGTATCTTCGGAAGTCTTCGGAAGTCTTCGGAGATTTTCGGATACTATCGAACCCCACGAAAAATCCTGGCACTCTCAGGATAAAAATGTCACGCCTATTTATAAATTTAAAAAGTTGGCAGGTATCGAATACTCAGACTGCTTGGTCCAAAACCTCAGCCCTTTCTGTTGTTGAAACGTCGCACGCTTCACGGAGCTCTTCCATTTGTCCAGATCGCTCCACTTCCTTCATTTTTCCTTTTAAACTCTAACGGTCAGAGCAACTGATGAGCTGTAAAGGCAACACCTTTTAAGAGTAGTCTCGCACACATCCACAGTCGATCTTATATACAGTGAAACCTGTATTAAGCGGACACCCTCGGGGAATGCTGTAGTGTCCGCTTAATACAGGGTGTCCGCCTAATACAGGTTTCGACAGATAGCGCCATATGAGGCTAGGTGTCAAATGCCATTTAAATGAACAGTGGGAAGGTTAAGAATACTCCCAGAGATTTTGACGATATACGTTTGCATTATTAATTTCTTTATCCAAGTGGACCAGTTGATCATAATACCATAAACATAGATTGCAACTCAAATTTGGAGAAATCAGATGAGCGAAACAAGCTCTATACAAACAAAACGAAATAGAAAACAATACTGTACTGTGAAACTAATCCCCGGGGGGGGGGTTACTCCCGCGAATTTTGGATGGGGGTGTGCCGCGAAGGTTCGTGGACCCTAACCCTATTTAAGGACTAAGAAAGCGAAAACCAGGAGCTGCGAAAACTGATATCCTTTTTAAGGCCGAAAGCCGAAAAATGACACCCTATTCAAGGAAAAAACAAAATTATTAATAGCATGAAAAGGAAAACTTTATTTCTTTTCTATAACGCTGGATGTATATCATCAAGCAAAAAATACTAGAATAAGCCTAGTTTAAAAAAAATGTTCGTTTAGGCGGGCGTTTTCACACTCCAGCTACCCTATCTAAGGACCACACCAGGGACACAGAAACACAAGGCCGGAGGGTCAAAAAAGATACCCTATTTAAGGACCGAGAACCTCAAAAGCCATTCCCTATTCCGCGGCACTTACCTATATAGCCCATATGTGGGAGTACCCTCCCCCCCGGGAACTAATCAAATATGTTCGTCAAGTCACGTTTTTTACTGTAAAAATATAAAAATTTGTGGGTGGCAATTCGAGGCAATCTTCGTATTTCCTGTGTCTGGCATGTTGGGTAGTGGCATTTGATTACAAGTGTCCGTTCAATACAGGTTGGTAACGATAGAAATGACCATTTCAGGTTCTTTTTAAGTGTCCGCGTCCGCTTAATAGAGGTGTCTGCTTAATAAAGGTTTCATTTAAAGCAAATAAGGGAAATAAATTTTGGGACTTCGGCTACTATCCGCTTAATAGAGGGTGTCCGCTTAATACGGTGTCCGCTTGATACAGGTTTCACTGAAATTGAGAAGTAATATAAGGAGCATAAACCACATAGCACGGACAGAACACATATGGTTTATTAAATGGGCACTTGGAGGGCTTAATGATATGGTTTCTGTTGTTGTTGCCACAAAAATTTTAAGCCTCAGTTGTTAATCAATTCACTACTTTGCTTTAATTCTTAAAGAGACTCAAACTTTAGTAATATACCAGAAAACCGCCCCTGTTCCCAGGATCTTCCTTACATGCAGTTCATGACAGTTTTCTTTTTCCGTTGTATTCTTCCAAAAAGAACTTCAGGGTTTGTAGCTCCCGTGGTATGCTTTTGAAGGAGAATGGAAAGGATAAATAGATCTCTTTAGCCGGCATGTTTTGTTTTTCCGGTGTAGGTCATGTAATAATTCTCTAGAGACTCTGTTTCAACACGCAAAATTTATGAAAAGACAAAGGGGCAAATTCCCCTGAGACGTTATAGACAAAAGAAAACATACAAGCTAAAGAGGTTAATGCGGAGGAAAACACTCCTTCTCTTGCCCATCATATATGTATTGACGGTCCTTAGCTTAATTTCTTCTTCCCTTTTGTCTTAAAAAGGCGCCAAGAAGACTAAACTAGGTTTAGGCCTCTCCAAGTTCTCCCCATAAAACAAGTTAGCTGTCAAAAGTTATATTGATTACTCCTAATTGAATTTTAGTACGTGAAAATTTTGAAATAACAAAGGAACACTCCTTCATCAAACATGAAGATTGGCGCAATTTTAAAAGATTGTCAAGAGTATCTACTCAGATCATAAGACGCACGTGTAGAGCTGTTGTTTTGCTCAAACAATTGTTTTTTTGACATTTTCGTTGTCGTCGTCGTCGTGGTTGCTGAAGCCCCTGAAGCTAAGGATCTTATAAAAAAAATATAATGACAAAGCTATGTTGTAATCTTAATCCGTTGTACGAAAGTATTTCTTATATTTCAAAGATCGATAACGAGTTTAACAAGCAATATGATAATAAAAATAAAGTTAACTAATATTGATTTCAGAGGACGAGGGCTGGCTTTTGTAATATTGCCTTTCAGGTACAGGGCCGACATTTCGCGCGCGGGGAGCGCAGTGGTTGCGTCAAGAAATGTTGGCTGGTTTCTCAAGCTACCTTCTGCGCGTCTTTGACGATAAAAGTATAAAAAATCATATGGTCAACATTTTGCTTTAAACCGTTCACTTTACTGTGGATCCTTATTCCAGATTGGTGACAATTAATTTAGTTATTCTTTTGTCTTCATGATAATTGGGCATCATGAATGTTTCTATTCAAGGTAAAAGTTGTTTTCAATTCTGCAGTTGCAATATTGATAAATAAGGCTCATTAACTCAAGTACCAAAGAAAAGTAATATTGTCACCATTTTTATGAACTCGCCATTTGAGTTACACAGGCCTTGAATTGTCACACTACTAGTACTCTATTAGCATGTGGTTACAAGCTCGGAAAGAGAATCTTATTAAAATTCAGTAAAACTTGTTTTGCCAATCAATGCTTGAAAAATTAGTTTCGAAATGTTCAATGTTGAAGTAGGCTAGCTGTTGCAAATTAATGAAGGCCTATTTTCCAATTCATCCTTTTTAGCAGACTGGAAGGGTTGTTGATTATCCAGCTAGCCCAATTTAAGAGGTTGAGACTCACGGTTCAGGTTCATTTCAGCACATGAAGCCGCCACTGTTTTCCTCACAAAATGACGTAGAAGTCCCACAAAACATTTAAAGGAAAAGAAAATCATGCATGGAAGAGACCAGAAAATTTCACTTTAAACGAAGACAAATCACTGCAAGCTGACTTTGTTTTGTTGTTCCTGTTTTTGTTTGTGTTTTTCTCTGATTTAGCGCGCACCTCTCACTGAGGACAGGAGCTTGGGCTTTGGCTTAGAACGCCGGCAACTGCGTACTCAGTCAGGTAATAAAGTTTGTCATACGGCCGCAACGAGAACACAAAAAAATTAAACAATATGTACTAGATTTTATGGGGTTTTAGCGACTGTTCACAACCGCTGTCGTCATGGTGGTCGCTAGCTTTAGCTCCCCGAAACGAGAACCACGTGGAACAAGAACAGCTTTATGACAAAAACCGTAACGCCGGCATCACAATTTTTGTACATTTTGCGCTCCTCCTCAGTGACAACTGAAACGCGAAATTCGCTGATGCAACGTTTTAGGAACGAGGAACACAAGACGACGAGTACTCTTATCTCTGTCGAACGGATTAAAAGTCTATCTAACTGTGATTAAGTAGGTATGAAATCGCATGAAGTGTGAAAGGGCACGAACTCTGATAATTGATAGGTGGAGGTTACACAGGCGCTGTGGTGGTGCTTATCGACAAAATCTAGCCTCCTAATCTTCCTACATGGGTGTATACTTAGTTTTATGCGACATATAGAGTTGACGCCCAAGTTCTTTATTGGCCAGCTGTAGCGTTCAAATTCAGAGTAACAACCCTTGTTCCTTTCGAGATTTGCAAGCCTTTAGATTTCGGCGGAGATAACAAGACACTGGTTTAAAACCTAGCTCTCAGATTGAAATTATAAAGAAACGTCAGTGATTAGTGGTCATACAAAGCAAGGTAACGAAATTAAAAACGACGCAAAAATTAAGCGGTCGCTTCTTACAAGGGGGAAGCATAGCTACTTTCGAAGGGGATGTAAGTTACCGGTTTGATTGCAAACAGAAAAATGTATACTTAAGGATATATATCTTTATTGAATGTTTGCTTGATTATATGTTTTACAACTTTAAGACGAGCACTACGGGCCCAATGAAAAACGAAAAAAGGAGTAAATGTTTCAATAAGCCTGCAAAATACTGTTGGTCCAGTTTACTTTTACTAAAACGGAAATGCATTTTTTTTTTCGGGAAATCATCGCAGTCATCGCACAAGCTCAAAGTTAACTAAACGGTGTCCCGTTGAGAATGCAGTGATGCCAGGGTAAACAGAAATGTTGATCGTAAACTGTGGGAATGCCTCCCTGGTTAAAATGCAGCGATCCAAAGGATTGAACTGGAAATGGCGGGTTTGAGTTATAAGTATAGCCGGGGAAGAATGGACTTTGAATAGTAGAGTGGTTATGAACCAAATTGCCCGTACCTTCCTGGCTCAAAGGAGGATTCGGCCGCAATTTACGTCTTGAAAAATCTCCATGGCTAAACTCTGCCAAAAAGCTGGGATGGATCCACCAGTAACATCTAGCCTTGTGCATCGCGATCTCTCCTCGCTGAAAGCATTCGTGACGTGACAGATTATGGCGGACAGTGTTCTTCCAGCGTACTCTATTCTGGGTAAAACTAGGATAGTTGTTCTGGATGAATTCGTAGATCTCAGACAACGTGACTCGTTTTAGTGGTGAGTGGAGAATAGCGTAGGATATTGCCTCAACGTAGGACAATGAAGAACACTTTCGTTTCGACCTCTTTCTCCGCGTTGTTTGATTGGTCGAATACCTCTTCTCTCCTGATGAAACGTCGCACGCTTCACGGGGATCTTCCATTTGTCTCGATCGTTCCACTTCCTTCATTTTTCCTTTTAAACTCTAACGGTCAGAGAAACTGAGCTGTAAAGGCAACACCTTTTAAGAGTAGTCTCGCACACATCCACAGTCGATCTTATATATTTGAGAAGTAATATAAGGAGCATAAACACGTCTTTTTTGTTGCACTTCAATCGCAGTTTATAGCACCTGCAAACATTAGTGTCAGTGACGCTAAAAAAGCTCATTAAATTGACTTCTTTACTGTCCTTTTTTTCAAAACTGCATGTGCTTTGTTACCAGAATGAAGTCCGCTTGAAAGCTTATAAACGCATATGAAACATTCTGAGCCCCTGCTAAAAAATACTATGTTTGTCGCGATGGAAGCTTTATTAAGCCCTTTTAAAATATGGCTTTCAGTTGAATCCTATACTAAATGCACTGTAATTTTCAACTCAACTCTTAGGGACTGCAGTTATTTAAGCATGTGCGCTGAGTACTCGACTAGAATCGGATTAAGAACCACGTAGCACGGACAGAACGCATATGGTTTATTGAGTGGGCACTTGGAAGGCTTAATGGCATGGTTTTTGTTATTGTTGCCACAAACATTTTAAGCCTCAGTTGTTACTCGAACCACTACTTTGCTTCAATTCTTAAAGAGACTCAAACTTTAGTAATATAACAGAAAACCGCCCCTGTTCCCAGGGAAAAATTGAAAACTTGATTTTAAGTTGGAACGCCACGGTCCTACAGGAGCAGTAACCAGCTGTGTAAAAGGAACGAGATGATTGGAAGGCTTATCGATAGCGCGGCAAAATTTCGTGACTATATTCTCGTAGTGAAGCTAGGAGGTTTCACGTCGCGTGAGTCGTGCAGTGGACGTCGAAGAAATGTACTATATAGCGTGACGCACGTGTAGAGCTGTAGTTTTGCTCAAACAATTGTTTTTTGACGTTTTCGTTGGAGTCGTCGTCGTGGTTGCTAAAGCCTCCTTATCAATAGCTGACGTCAACGGGAGTATTGCTAAGGATCTTATAAAGAAAAATATAATGACAAAGCTATGTTGTAATCTTGATCCGTGGTACGAAAGTATTTCTTATATTTCAAAGATCGATAACGAGTTTAACAAGCAATATGATAATAAAAATAAAGTTAACTAATATTGATTTCAGAGGACGAGGGCTGCCTTTTGTAATATTGCCTTTCAGGTACAGGGCCGACATTTCGCGCGCGGGGAGCGCAGTGGTTGCGTCAAGAAATGTCGGCTGTTTTCTCAAGCTACCTTCTGCGCGTCTTTGACAATAAAAGTATAAAAAATCATATGGTCAACATTTTGCTTTAAACCGTTTACTTTACTGTGGATCCTTATTCCAGATTGGTGACAATTAATTTAGTTATTCTTTTCTCTTCATGATAATTGGGCATCATGAATGTTTCTATTCAAGGTAAAAGTTGTTTTCAATTCTGCAGTTGCAATATTGATAAATAAGGCTAATTAACTCAAGTACCAAAGAAAAGTAATATTGTCACCATTTTTATGAACTCGCCATTTGAGTTACACAGGCCTTGAATTGTCACACTTCTAGTACTTTATTAGCATGTGGTTACAAGCTCGGAAAGAGAATCTTATTAAAATTCAGTAAAACTTGTTTTGCCAATCAATGCTTGAAAAATTAGTTTCGAAATGTTCAATGTTGAAGTAGGCTAGCTGTTGCAAAATAATGAAGGCCTATTTACCAATTCATCCTTTTTAGCAGACTGGAAGGGTTGCTGATTATCCAGCTAGCCCAATTTAAGAGGTTGAGACTCACGGTTCAGGTTCATTTCAGCACATGAAGCCGCCACTGTTTTCCTCACAAAATGACGTAGAAGTCTCACAAAACATTAAAAGGAAAAGAAAATCATGATGGAAGAGACCAGAAAATTTCACTTTAAGCGAAGACAAATCACTGCAAGCTGACTTTGTTGTGTTGTTCCTGTTTTTGTTTGTGTTTTTCTCTGATTTAGCTGGCACCTCTCACTGAGGACAGGAGATTGCAATGGGCTTTGCCTTAGAACGTCGGCAGCTGCGTGCTCAGTCAGGTAATAAAGTTTGTCATACGGCCACAACGACAACAAAAAAAAATTAAACAATATGTACTAGATTTTATAAGGTTTTAGCGACTGTTCACAGCCGCTGTCGTCGTGGTGGTCGCCAGCTTTAGCTCCCCGAAACGAGAACCACGTGGAAAAAGAACAGCTTTATGATAAAAATTGTAACGCCGGTATCACAATTTTTGTACATTTTGCGCTCCTCCTCAGTGACAACTGAAACGCGGAATTCGCTGATGCAACGTTTTAGGAACGACGAACACAAGACGACGAGTACTCTTATCTCCGTCGAACAGCTAAAAAGTCTATCTAACTGTGATTAAGTAGGTATGAAATCGCATGAAGTGTGAAAGGACACGAACTCTGATAATTGATAGGTGGAGGTTACACAGGCGCTGTGGTGGTGCTTATCGACAAAATCTAGCCTCCTAATCTTCCTACATGGGTGTATACTTAGTTTTATGCGACATATAGAGTTGACGCCCAAGTTCTTTATTGGGCAGCTGTAGCGTTCAAATTCAGAATAACAACCCTTGTTCCTTTCGAGATTTGCAAGCCTTTAGATTTCGGCGGAGATAACAAGACACTGGTTTAAAACCTAGCTCTCAGATTGAAATTATAAAGAAACGTCAGTGATTAGTGGTCATACAAAGCAAGGTAACGAAATTAAAAACGACGCAAAAATTAAGCCGTCGCTTCTTACAAGGGGGAAGCATAGCTACTTTCGGAGGGGATTTAAGTTACCGGTTTTAGTGGAAACAGAAAAATGTATACTTAAGGATATATATCTTTATTGAATGTTTGCTTGATTATATGTTTTACAACTTTAAGACGAGCACTACGGGCCCAATGAAAAACGAAAAAAGGAGTAAATGTTTCAATAAGCCTGCAAAATACTGTTGGTCCAGTTTACTTTTACTAAAACGGAAATGCATTTCTTTTTTCGGGAAATCATCGCACGAGCTCAAAGTTAACTAAACGGTGTCCCGTTGAGAATGCAGTGATGCCAGGGTAAACAGAAATGTTGATCGTAAACTGTGGGAATGCCTCCCTGGTTAAAATGCAGCGATCCAAAGGATTGAACTGGAAATGGCGGGTTTGAGTTATAAGTATAGCCGGGGAAGAATGGACTTTGAATAGTAGAGTGGTTATGAACCAAATTGCCCGTACCTTCCTGGCTCAAAGGAGGATTCGGCCGCAATTTACGTCTTGAAAAATCTCCATGGCTAAACTCTGCCAAAAAGCTGGGATGGATCCGCCAGTAACATCTAGCCTTGTGCATCGCGATCTCTCCTCGCTGAAAGCATTCGTGACGTGACAGATTATGGCGGACAGTGTTCTTCCAGCGTACTCTATTCTGGGTAAAACTAGGATAGTTGTTCTGAATGAAATCGTAGATCTCAGACAACGTGACTCGTTTTAGTGGTGAGTGGAGAATAGCGTAGGATATTGCCTCAACGTAGGACAATGAAGAACACTTTCGTTTCGGCCTCTTTTTCCGCGTTGTTTGATTGGTCGAATACCTCTTCTCTCCTGATGAAACGTCGCACGCTTCACGGGGATCTTCCATTTGTCTCGATCGTTCCACTTCCTTCATTTTTCCTTTTAAACTCTAACGGTCAGAGAAACTGAGCTGTAAAGGCAACACCTTTTAAGAGTAGTCTCGCACACATCCACAGTCGATCTTATATATTTGAGAAGTAATATAAGGAGCATAAACACGTCTTTTTTGTTGCACTACAATAGCAGTTTATAGCACCTGCAAATACTAGTGTCAGTGACGCTAAAAAAACTCATTAAGTTGACTTCTTTACTGTCCCTTTTTTCAAAACTGCATGTGCTTTGTTACCATAATGAAGTCCGCTTGAAAGCTTATGAGCGCATATGAAACATTCTGAGCCCCTGCTAAAAAATACTATGTTTGTCGCGATGGAAGCTTTATTAAGCCCTTTTAAAATATGGCTTTCAGTTTAATCCTATACTAAATGCAGCGTAATTTTCAACTCAACTCTTAGGGGCTGCAGTTATTTAAAGCATGTGCACTGAGTACTCGACTAGAATGGCATTAAGAACTACGTAGCACGGACAGAACACATATGGTTTATTGAGTGGGCACTTGGAGGGCTTAATGGCATGGTTTTTGTTATTGTTGCCACAAACATTTTAAGCCTCAGTTGTTAGTCAAACCACTACTTTGCTTCAATTCTTAAAGAGACTCAAACTTTAGTAATATAACAGAAAACCGCCCCTGTTCCCAGGGAAAAATTGAAAACTTGATTTTAAGTTGGAACGCCACGGTCCCACAGGAGCAGTAACCAGCTGTGTAAAAGGAACGAGATGATTGGAAGGCTTATCGATAGCGCGGCAAAATTTCGTGACTATATTCTCGTAGTGAAGCTAGGAGGTTTCACTTCGCGTGAGTCGTGCAGTGGACGTCGAAGAAATGTACTAAAAAGGGTGACGCACGTGTAGAGCTGTAGTTTTGGTCAAACAATTGTTTTTTGACGTTTTCGTTGTCGTCGTCGTCGTGGTTGCTAAAGCCCCCTTATCAATAGGTGACGTCAACGGGAGTATTGCTAAGGATCTTATAAAGAAAAATATAATGACAAAGCTATGTTGTAATCTTGATCCGTGGTACGAAAGTATTTCTTATATTTCAAAGATCGATAACGAGTTTAACAAGCAATAATGATAATAATAATAATAATAATAATAAAGTTAACTAATATTGATTTCAGAGGACGAGGGCTGCCTTTTGTAATATTGCCTTTCAGATACAGGGCCGACATTTCGCGCGCGGGGAGCGCAGTGGTTGCGTCAAGAAATGTCGGCTGTTTTCTCAAGCTACCTTCTGCGCGTCTTTGACGATAAAAGTATAAAAAATCATATGGTCAACATTTTGCTTTAAACCGTTTACTTTACTGTGGATCCTTATTCCAGATTGGTGACAATTAATTTAGTTATTCTTTTGTCTTCATGATAATTGGGCATCATGAATGTTTCTATTCAAGGTAAAAGTTGTTTTCAATTCTGCAGTTGCAATATTGATAAATAAGGCTAATTAACTCAAGTACCAAAGAAAAGTAATATTGTCACCTTTTTTATGAACTCGCCGTTTGAGTTACACAGGCCTTGAATTGTCACACTACTAGTACTCTATTAGCATGTGGTTTCAAGCTCGGAAAGAGAACCTTATTAAAATTCGGTAAAACGTGTTATGCCAATGGATGCTTGAAAAATTAGTTTCGAAATGTTCAATGTTGAAGTAGGCTAGCTGTTGCAATTTAATGAAGGCCTATTTTCCAATTCATCCTTTTTAGCAGACTGGAAGGGTTGTTGATCATCCAGCTAGCCCAATTTAAGAGGTTGAGACTCACGGTTCAGGTTCATTTCAGCACACGAAGCCGCCACTGTTTTCCTCACAAAATGACTTAGAAGTCCCACAAACATTCAAAGGAAAAGAAAATCATGATGGAAGAGACCAGAAAATTTCACTTTAAACGAAGACAAATCACTGCAAGCTGACTTTGTTGTGTTGTTCCTCTTTTTGTTTGTGTTTTTCTCTAATTTAGCACCTCTCACTGAGGACAGGAGCTTGGGCTTTGGCTTAGAACGCCGGCAGCTGCGTGCTCAGTCAGGTAATAAAGTTTGTCATACGTCCAAAACGAGAACACAAAAAAATTAAACAATATGTACTAGATTTTATAAGGTTTTAGGGACTGTTCACAACCGCTGTCGTCGTGGTGGTCGCTAGCTTTAGCTCCCCGGAACGGGAACCACGTGGAAAAAGAACTGCTTTATGATAAAAATTGTAACGCCGGCATCACATGCAATTTTTGTACATTTTGCGCTCCTCCTCAGTGACAACTGAAACGCGAAATTCGCTGATGCAACGTTTTAGGAACGACGAACACAAGACGACGAGTACTCTTATCTCTGTCGAACAGTTTAAAAGTCTATCTAACTGTGATTAAGTAGGTATGAAATCGCATGAAGTGTGAAAGGACACGAACTCTGATAATTGATAGCTGGAGGTTGCACAGGCGCTGTGGTGGTGCTTATCGACAAAATGTAGCCTCCTAATCTTCCTACATGGGTGTGTACTTAGTTTTATGCGACATATAGAGTTGACGCCCAAGTTCTTTATTGGGCAGCTGTAGCGTTCAAATTCAGAATAACAACCCTTGTTCCTTTCGAGATTTGCAAGCCTTTAGATTTCGGCGGAGATAACAAGACACTGGTTTAAAACCTAGCTCTCAGATTGAAATTATAAAGAAACGTCAGTGATTAGTGGTCATAAAAAGCAAGGTAACGAAATTAAAAACGACGCAAAAATTAAGCCGTCGCTTCTTACAAGGGGGAAGCATAGCTACTTTCGGAGGGGATTTAAGTCACCGGTTTGATTGCAAACAGTAAAATGTATACTTAAGGATATATATCTTTATTGAATGTTTGCTTGATTACATGTTTTACAACTTTAAGACGAACACTACGGGCCTAATGAAAAACGAAAAAAGGAGTAAATGTTTCAATAAGCCTGAAAAATACTGTTGGTCCAGTTACTTTTAATAAAACGGAAATGCATTTTTTTTTCGGAAAATCATTGCACGAGCTCAAAGTTAACTAAACGGTGTCCCGTTGAGAATGCAGTGATGCCAGGGTAAACAGAAATGTTGATCGTAAACTGTGGGAATGCCTCCCTGGTTAAAATGCAGCGATCCAAAGGACTGAACTGGAAATGGCGGGTTTGAGTTATAAGTATAGCCGGGGAAGAAAGGACTTTGAATAGTGGAGTAGTTATGAACCAAATTGCCCGTACCTTCCTGGCTCAAAGGAGGATTCGGCAGCAATTTACGTCTTGAAAAATCTCCATGGCTAAACTCTGCCAAAAAGCTGGGATGGATCCGCCAGTAACAGCCAGCCTTGTGCATCGCGATCTCTCCTCGCTGAAAGCATTCGTGACGTGACAGATTATGGCGGACAGTGTTCTTCCAGCGTACTCTATTCTGGGTAAAACTAGGATAGTTGTTCTGAATGAAATCGTAGATCTCAGACAACGTGACTCGTTTTAGTGGTGAGTGGAGAATAGCGTAGGATATTGCCTCAACGTAGGACAATGAAGAACACTTTCGTTTCGGCCTCTTTTTCCGCGTTGTTTGATTGGTCGAATACCTCTTATCTCCTGATGAAACGTCACACGCTTCACGGGGATCTTCCATTTGTCTCGATCGTTCCACTTCCTTCATTTTTCCTTTTAAACTCTAACGGTCAGAGCATCTGAGCTGTAAAGGCAACACCTTTTAAGAGTAGTCTCGCACACATCCACAGTCGATCTTATATATTGAAGACTGAGTAAGTAATATAAGGAGCATGGACACGCCTTTTTTGTTACACTAAAATAGCAGCTTATAGCACCTGCAAACACTATATTTAGTGTCAGTGACACTAAATATGGTTTACTGTCCTTTTCCCAAAACTCCATGTGCTTTGTTTTCAGAATGAAGTCCTCTTGAAAGCATATGAACACATATGAAACACTCCGAGCCCCCACTAAAAAATAATATGTTGCTTCATTAGGCCCTTTTAAAATATGGCTTTGTTTAATCCTATAATGCAGTGTAATTTTCTACTCATTTATTAGGGAAAAGGGACCGCACCTTAGGCAAACGGTATGCATTTATTTAAAGCATGTGCAGTAAGTGACGACTAGCGAATCGAATTTATGAATCACAGCACATAGCACGGACAGAACGCATAATTTGCTTATTCAGTAGGCACTTGATAGGCTTAATGGCATGGTTTCTGTAGTTGTTGCCACAAACATTTAAAGCTTCAGTTGCTGAACAAACCACTGCTTTGCTTCAATTCTTAATTAAAGAAACTCAAACCTTATTAATATAGAAAGCCGCCCCTGTTCTCAGGGTCTTTCCTACAGCTCATGAGCATGAGCGTTTTCTTTTTGCGTTCAGTATTCTTCCAAAAGAGACTTCAGGTTTTGCAGCAGCTCCCTTGGTATGCTTTTGAAGGAGAATGGAAAGGATAAATAGATCTCTTTAGCTGGAATGTTTTGTTTTTCCGATGCATGTCATGTGATAATACTCTAGAGAACTGTTTCAATCATATTTCGTCTCATACCCGTGCATATGTACGCATAATTTATGAAAAGACAAAGGGGCAAATTCCCCTCAGACCTCCCTGATAGAGAAAAGAAAACATACAAGCTAAAGAGGTCTATTAACGCGCAGGAAAACACTCCTTCTCTTGCCCATCTTATATATATTGATCTCCCTTGACTTAATTTCTTCTTTCCTTTTATCTTAAAAAGGCGCTAAGAAGGTTAAAGGTTTTAGGCCTTCCTAAGTTGTCCCACTGAAAACAAGTTACTGTCAAAAATAGATGCAATGGTATTGATTGCGCTTCATTGAATTTTAGTACGAGTCAATTTTGATGTAAAAAAAGGACCCAAATTGTTAAAAGTATCTTCTCAGATCATCAGAAGACAATTTTAATTGCTCACTTAAACGATTTTAACACTGGCTATTTTGACTAAACGATTTATCGATAAACTCAAAAGTCGCGGGCTGTGTTCCATTCAAGCCGCCGATCAGTTTGGACTTGCACACTAAATCAGATTTCCCAAGTTTGCACTTATGAGGTAGGTAGCATTGCGAAAAAAAATTCTGGCCTACTTCCATCATTCCCTATAAGACTACTGTAAACAGTGGTGAGTCGACATTGGTGTCTTCCGCGACCAACCTGTTTAAGCACAGTAATGCAGGGTTGTTTCCGCCCATGTTGAAATCCCTTCCTCTTTTCCCGGTTGAACACAACATTCATTTACACAATGCCTACTTTCTATGAATAGATTTAATCATTCTATAACTCTTACTTTATCGATCAGCATAAAAATGGGGGAAATGGGAGCTTTAATGTTGTTTGCTACCTCATTAAAGCTTTCATCGCTTGCTTCAGAGTTACTGGTAAGTATTTCGAAGGAGTACGCCGCATTTAAACGAAAAGCTGATTAAAAAAAGAGGTCGAATTGGTGCAAGACAAAAATCAGGCAGTAGAGGGGAAAAACTGAATTAAGGATAGAAGCTAAAGCAGGTTGTCAGGCAGGCCTTACGTCTATTGACGGTCTATTTCGCATTCAGTAGAGAGAAGGCTGCATAAAAAGAACGTCCGAACGTTATTAATAATGATTCTACGAACGCTTGCTGATATATTTCCTCTCATTCATGATTCATATGTTGCAAAGTACTGCTGCAATGTTTAAACTATGTATTACTAGTTCTGCTGCATTAGTAATAAATACACATTCTTGGTATATTTCATGTTCTTCTGTCTTTATAAAAGCAATACTTTTACAATCTGATTTCTTTTCTAATTTAGTTAAACTTTCTGCCAGGCAATAACAACTTTCCATCTTTAAATAAACAACTCCTTGTGCAATTTGAACCCCGCTAGCAAAAAGAACTTTCGAAATACTTCGATAAAAAACCCAAAGAGACAGAAAACTTCCCAAAATTAATTTAAAAAATCGTATCATATTAATCTAGATTGTTCATTAGTCGTTTCTCAAAAAAACGAGCACGTGCTGTAGTTGCCTGTTGAAAAAAAAAAAAATAAATAAAAATAATAATAATAATAATAATAAAAAGCAAATATTGACTGCGATCTCTTCCTTTTTCTCTGGGTTGATTTTTTATTCAGGTGCAACTGAAGATTGAAAATAACCAAATGTGAATACCAAAACAGGCACTGGGGCACGTCACAAATTGTGGTTTTCAGTAAGGCACTGTATACCACACAAAATCAAACATGTTTATAATATGGCGTTTAAAAGTTTTAGAACAATGGAAACGATGTTTTAGTACACTCTTTTTTTTATAAGAATATATTTAATAAGAATATCGAGGCTGAAATTTGCCAGATTTTAAGAATATTTTAAGAATAAAGCCAAGGCTGAGATTTTGAAAAGGATAGATATAATTTTGTGTGTTGAAACATCTGTAAATACAATACAATTTTAAGTTTTTAACTTAACCGTATAAAATTATTCCTTTCTCTGAACGGCGAAACTAGTCAACAAAACGAAAAAACCTGCACTAGCTATAGCAAAATGTTCAACGCTAATGACAGTTCGATGAACGGTACATGTAATACATATACATATACCCCAATAAATTCTAAAACAGAAATGTCATAAGCTATAATTCAAGAATAATACAAGAATATTTTCAGCCTAAAATCGGCAGAAAAATAAGAATATTCAGCCTGGGCCGGAAAAACAACATTCTTATACAAAAAAAGAGTGTATGCTTTGTCATAACGTTTACAACTCACTTAGCAGAAACTGTAAACTTTTCTACAGCGGATAATTATTTTACTTAACGCTTCAATGACTGATCATGGTGGTTTAAAATGTCCAACCCATTCCTTTAGATAAGTAAGGTGGAGAAAAATAGGACTAACGAGTTCAAAGTGTTTAATTTAGTACTGTTTACCATCCAGTGGGTTGCCATGATGGTAAGAAGGTGACTTGATCCGCGTATGTCACAGGAAAGCTCCTATGGCGATGATCTGAATACAGCGGCGTCAGCGGTGCAATGGGAGCAACAGAAAATGGTGGGTTTGGCTGATGAATACAGCATGGGAAGCAAGGACGTTCAACAGCGATGTGGTTCTCGAGTAAAGTGCTAGTCAAAGGTTTATTCTGGCACATCGATCTGCGTTTTGTCGAAAAATTTCCGCGGCTAAACTCTGCCAAAAAGCTGGGATGGATCCGCCAGTAACATCCAGCCTTGTGCATCGCGATCTCTCCTCGCTGAAAGCATTCATGAAGGGACAAATTGTGACGAACAGTGTTCTTCCAACGTACTCTATTCTCAGTGAAGCTAGGATAGTTGTTTTGGATGAAATCATATATCTCAGCCAAAGTGACTCGTTTTTGCGGTGAGCTAAGGATAGCGTAGGAAATAACCTGGATGTAGGACAAAGGAAACGCATTTCTCCTTTTTTTTGTCTTCTTTTTAAATCGTGTTTGATTGTTTGGCTTCTCCCTCTTCTCTTCCTTAGAGACATCACACCTTTTACGGAAATATTCCACCTGCTCACCTGGCTTGTCTGCCTTCTTCATTTTCTTGATAGAAGAGTCAAAACAAAGCTGAGCCGTGGGGGATTTCTTAAACAATCGCGAGTCTAGTAGACTTGAAGCCGGGAATAAATTAAATGAAGACCGATACGACTTCTTTTGTCAAACACAATGGAGTTTAAGCTAATTATCAATAAAGAAACATGTTTACCTTTTAACCACAAAAAGGCTAAATGCAGTGGATGGGTGTCGCTGAATAAAATATAGCTTTAATAGCCATTAGCCAGAAGTACAAGCATACCTTTGTTCAAATGAATTAACCTACTGTTTCAACAAAGGCCCTGACCAGCACTAATGTTCCGTAATTGTTGCGGTCAAACTGAAATTTTAAATTGACAGAGCATCTTTCCTTCAGACAGTAGTGACAATACATCAGCTATTTCAAACAATTAATTCGTCGCCGTACATCTTGTTCAGTTGTATCTAGCCTAAGCAACCACGACCAAAGATAATAGAGAATTTAAGATCCACGTAAGCGCTGGCAGCGAAAACGTCGCTTTCAAAGCCGTGAATTTGCGTTCTTCCTACCCATTTACTCTGATTTACTTAGTCAAATGTATGCGAACTCGCGAACTCTCCTGAAGTTGAATTCCGTCACGTTGTCGGATCTTAAAGTCGTCCTAAATGTGAACGAAACGTCAGTAACAAGAAATCATGACGTTGAGAAAACCGCTTAAATATACCGGTGCAGGGGAAGCTTCGTGAGGTTCATAAATACAAAGTTCGAGTTCAGAAGGGCGAGGAAAATTAACACTGGGGAGCCGGGAGCATATCATAAGCAAACAAACTCGGACGGCAACGGCAGTGGCGAAAATGTCACTTTAAAATAAGAATTCGTGCTGTTTCAAACTTTGAGCTCTTCTTGCATTTCGTTCAATTTCTTAAGTGTTAGTGATATTTTCCGGACTTGAATTTTAAACAGAAACAGGAAATCCTGGTCTTGTGTTCTCGTCCGATATGAAACGCGAAAAACGTGAAATTAGGAAGTTTCACGTTGTACTCGGCTCGAGCTGCAGCAACGGCAAAGAAATGAACAAAAAAGCGTGGTCTTCTTTTTTTTTGTCGTGGTATGCAGACGCACTTCATAAAACGTTTCATTTAAAGAAAACGAGCGAGCTGAAACGCAGGTATTTGTTAAGCCCCATTGTAACCTTTGTGGACAGGTGTCGGCACAAAGGGTTGGAAGCCCAAACAAAGCATGACTTACACAAACTTGATTATATCAGAGTTACATGTCCAATACTTACTAGGACAATGTCGTAAATGGGTGTCAATGATACAATAAAAAGAAATACGATCGTGGACTGGTCTTGTTTCAACTTACTAGGGACTTTGAAATTAAAGGACCTGATGGCAGCGAAAACATTGCTAAAAAGTGGATTTGCGCTGCGTTAGTCTTAATTGCGATTATTATATTTCTAAATGTAGTACCCACTTTACTTTGTCAAATGTTGGTTAAAATAACCCTCCTGGAGCTGAATTCCTAGGGACCATTTCCAAGTTCAGAAAGGGAAATAAAATTTGTATCAGAAACACTTCATTGTGAAAGCAAAACCACAACGACAAACCATTGAGGGTCCGTTGGATACTTAGTGGACCTGGATCAGTAAAATCTTGAGTACCAAATTATTAAAATTAAAACAGCAAACTGATCCTTACGGCTGGAAGAGTTGTAGAAAAAATAAGAAAAGAGAACAAAATTATATTTGCCCGATGTTTCGGTTTGCAACACAAACCTTCAACGGGGGCTTTTAAAGAAAAATGAATACAGATAAAAGATGAACGTTTCATATGCGAGATTTGAATGCATAGCAAACAGAAAATGACATGCTACTAAAAAGATAAATGACACTAATTGAGTTCAGTCACGTCTATTTATACCAAGGAGGTTCTAAAGTCATAGCTTTATCAATGAGGTGAACCTTTCGTGCCTTTCTGACAAAGGTTGCTACGGATTAGTTTTAAGGGAATAAGGACGTCGTTGATAGAGTGATTGGCTCGATTAAAATGTTCGAAGAGTAGGATTAGGAAACCCCAAAGCTTTGGTGGAGATGGCGCTTGGTCTCCCTAATGTACTGTTTAATTTGCCGCATTTTTTTCATTCAATGAGATAGATAAGGTGTTTGGATTTACAGTTTTAGGGGTCATGTATATGTCATTTCTCTTTGAAGGAGGTGAAGGTGTAGTTGGCTTGGCCTTGTTTTAAAAATGGACGCAGATAAGGCAGCGTGCACGTGGATGATTGCCTTTTGAAACGCCGGGAGAAGGTTTTTCTTGTTGTATGCTACAATCACTTAAAGTGCTTCTAAGTCGTGACTGACAAGCCAAGCGAACGACTTTACAAATGCTAAAAGCCATGCCAGAAAGAAACCTATGCTCTCAGGGTATTGACCATGCTTAGTGTAATAACAAACATAAACGCCCTTTGCAATTAAGGTGGCTCGATGGGGTTGTTCAGGGTCAATACCTCCCTAGGTCAAGCATAAACTAAGTCTCCATCATTCAGCAAATGTATTCGGGAAAATTACCACTATAGTCGTTACTTCACGTTCCCAATGCCGCGGCAACAAAACGAAAATTGAAGTGAATTTGGACTGCTTCAAACTTAATCAATCTTATTCAATTTCATTTAATTTGTCAAATTTGTCAATTTTCTGGGGCTTAATACGAAAGGACCGTATTTAAGTTTAGAAAAAGAAAAACAAAATTTGTCTTGTGTTTACCTACTCCATAAATCAAGCGAGTGAAATTAGGAAGTTTCATGTCGCAGTAGTGCAACGACAGCTAAGAAATGTACAAAACAGCGCGATGCACTTGCAAAGATGTTTTTTTTTTAATATAACTTATTGCTTTTTAACTGTTTTCGTTGCCGTCACCGTCGTCTTTGCTTAAACTCGCTATTGTTGTGATCCACAAATTTTGCTACCGTGGTAACGAGAAGTAACATTTCTCTTCTCTATTACCTAAAGGTGAAAATTTGTTTTGTTCAGGGTTACAACGACATCGGAGTTATCATGGCAACAAACTGATGCCATTACCTATTTTACTGGCAGTTTATTTCTAGGCACAGGGAACTCTTATTCCAAAATCGATCAAGAGAGCTTTTTCCTCCAATAGCTGCCCCGATGATAGTGAAGTTTAAGAGAAATCTCTAAGAGCGTTATCGAGATATTTTGGATCAAGTTTTTATGGTTAGAAATACAGTAAAAACTGGACAATCTTGATGTTGGGCCGTTACCTGTAGAAACCGAAGCGCTTTTGAAATGCTATTTCACCTAATACTAGTTTAAAAAAACGTGTGTGAAGGATCGTGGAGCTTCAAAGAAAGATTTCATTATTATGTACCGAATTGTTGGCGGTCTTATAAACATTTTGGTCTACTTAAACAAAAAAGCAAATAATCAAACAACGCAAAACAGATTTTATTAAAAAATTGAGATTGTTTAGATTAACCGTCGCAAGATTTTTGATATCTTGTAAAGCACTAAAATAAGGGCTACAATTCGCTAAATTTTTGTGAGAAACTCTCATTATTCTCATTATGTAAGTCAGTGGTTGGTTATAAACAGGAACGTATTAAATCTTGCAAATTGCTTGGAGTTCACATCGATGAATATCTTAAGTGGGACGATCACATCAAGCACATGGTACTGCACAATTTATTTGGGCCCTGTGGCGATAAAAAAGGGCGTTAATCCGCATTCCTTGCCAACCGTGTATCTTGCTTATACTTTATCATACCCTCACAAATAATTACCTGCGAGTCGCGCGTAACTTTCACATGCTTACGTAACTACGTAAATTTTACGCGCGTAAATATAATAGGGGCAATGTCTGGAAGGTTCCGCTCAACTTGTACGTTCACCCACGGCCTTTCACACTCTGGTTCCATTATATTTACGCGCGTAAAATTTACGTACGTACGTACGCACGTAAATTACACGACAGTGGAAATCCACCTTGAAACACTTGTGTGAGAGGCTGGTCCTAAACTAATGCGGAATATTCTGGAATTTCCAGAAGGTAATTGAGGCACGCGATCTCTTAGCTAGATATTAGCAGTGCTTCACCGCCCACCATTGATCCTGAATTATTTGTGCGTCATCTTGCCTCTAAATGCCTGAAGAGTGGACAACAGCGCGTATTGTATATGTAAAAGATAACGTAGACATTTTCCAGAAAAAAAGGACTCAGTCTGGTTTTTGTATTGATACAAACTTTCGGTGATCATTGAGGGGTAGTCGTAAAAATGAATACTCACTGGGAATTAAAAGAGCCTGTTGATTTTTTGTTTTGTTTTGTTTTGTTTTTTTTTTTGGACCACTGCGTTGGAATAGGTGCTAACTACTTCGCACGTTTAGGTTTAAATTGGCCTAATTTAAATCTTTACATCCGAAGATAATTACTGGTTGTAGATCAAGTAAGAAAGAAATTGTAAGAAAGAAAGGAATTGTAACGGAACCATTAATGGATAATGAGTACGTAATTGATTGAAAAAACACTCCTCCGACTAGTTATTATTATTATTTTTTGGCAAAGCTTTGTCCAGTTTTTTTGGACTGAGTGGGTTTTCTTTGCGAGGGCATCAACGGATTTTAACAACACAAAACGTAAGCGACTGAAATCATCCCTAAACCGTGCTAGTGTGAAATTCCTTGCAAATCTTTGTTAACTTTATCATAACTTTATAAGACCCACCAATTGAAAAATTGGCCAGTGAGTCTCGTGAATTAGGCCAATACAAACCCAAGCCTCAAGGTAACGCTTTGCGTGATTCAAAAGCGTTCCTGATTTGTCTAAGATTGCATCAGAGAAAAGATGGGTTGGTTGCATCAGAATGCGAAAAGAAAGGGTAAGTCAATATAAAATCGTATTCGTATTTTGGTTATAATGCTTTGGTACCAGATTCTGAACAGACAAGACAAAGTTATCGTCACCCGCGCTGTTACAGCTGATAAGGCAGATAACGCACACAGGTGAATTTC